TCCTCTTACCTTGTCATGCTACATTATACATGCCATACTTGCAAATCAGCTTCTGTTGTGTAATGGATCTCTTATACTTTCTGCTATGCTCATCTTTTGGGTTTCCAGGGGTTAGCCATAAAGATAGATAGATAAACATATCAATACTAGAGGCCCGGTGCACGAAATCGGGGCCTTCTGGCTGCCAGCAAAGGCATTCCTTCCAGCTGCCAGCTGCCGGCCAGGGCTTCCCTTCCCCGGCTACCGGCCAGGGTCTTCCTTCGTTCCATGCCTCCCCCTGGTGATCAGCACTTGTCATGGCGAGCAATCAAACTCCCGGTCTCCGGGTAGAACTCCCGAGGGGACACTGCATATTAGCCTTTTATATATATAGACTAGAGCCCCGGTGCACGAAAATTTGTGCACTCGCGGGGGAGGGAGCATCCCTCAGCCCGGCCTGTGCCCTCTCGCAGCCTGGGACCCCTCGGGAGATAACGACCTGCTGGCTTAGGCCTGCTCCCGGGTGGCAGAGGGCAGGCCCAATCCCTAGGTGCAGCCCCTGGTCGGGCTCAGAGCAGGGCCGATTGGGGGCTTGGGGCACCGCCCCCTGTCACACTCAAGGCAGAGTCGATGGGGAGGTTGCGGTGCCACCTCCAGTCACGCACAGAGCAGGGCCAATCAGGGGGTTGGGGCGCTGACCCCTGTCACTCACAGAGCAGGGCCCATCAGGGGAGTTAGGGCACCACCCCCTGTCACACACACAGCAGGGCGGATCAGGGGTTTGGGGCGCCGCACCCTGTCACACTCAGGGCAGGGCCAATGGGGAGGTTATGGCTCTACCCCGTCACACACAGAGCAGGGCCAATCAGGGGGTTGGAGCACCGCAGCCTGTCACACACAGAGCCGCAGGGCGATCAGGGGGTTGGGGAGCTCCCCCCTATCAGGCACAGAACAGGGCTGATCAGGGGGTTGGGGCGCCTTCCCCTGTCATGAACAGAGCAGGGCGGATAGGGAGGTTGTGGCCCTGCCCCCTGTCACACACAGAGCCGCAGGGCCATCAGGGGGTTTGGGCGCTTCCCCCTGTCACGCTGATCCCAGTGCCAGGAGGCCTCAAGGCTCTGCTGATCCCGGTGCTGGGAGGCATATTACCCTTTTACTATATAGGATAGAGGCCTGGTGCATGGGTGGAGGCCGGCTGGTTTGCCCTGAAGGGTGTCCTGGATCAGGGTGGAGGTCCCCACTGGGGTGCCTGGCCAGCCTGGGTGAGGGGATGATGGCTGTTTTCAGCTGGTCACACACCCTTCAGGGTGGGGGTCCCCACTGGGGTGGCTGGCCAGTCTGGGTGAGGGGCTGAGGGCTGTTTTCAGGCTGGCGGGTGACTGAAGCTCCCAACTGCTCCTTTTTTTCTTTTTTCTTTTTTTATTCTGGGCCAGCTTTAGCTCTGAGGCTTGGCTCCAGCTCTTAGGCCTCCGCTGCTGAAAGCAGGTATCTGGTTTGTTTGGATTCTATAATCGAAACACTGTTTCAACTCCAGCTCTGAGATCCTGGCTGGCTGAAAGCAGGTTTCTGGGGTTTTGTTTAGCTTCTATATTTGTAACAATGTTTCAAACTGCAAGCTCAGGCCGGCAGCAGCAGGCGGGGAACATTGGAGTCCTCTGTCACTGAAGCAAGCAAGCCTCCTGTTCGCTTCAAGCTGCCTGGCTGCTGGCCGCCATCTTGGCTGGCAGTTAATTTGCATATCGCCCTGATTAGCCAATGGGAAGGGTAGCGGACGTTTGGCTAATTACCATGTTTCTCTTTTATTAGATAGGATTGGTAGAGGTATTATGTGTAAGCATAGATTATATATATATAAATATATATATATATATATATATATATATATATGTATATAATATGTAGTGTCTTAAACACACACAGATACATGTGCATTTTAATTCTGCTCAAATGCATTTAGAATATTTCCACAGGTGTTAAAATGTGTAACATTACTGTTGAAAAGAATTCAAGGGGTCATTGTAAAACTGAAGTCAGTGAATGGAAAGAACATGGAAATCCATTCTTAAGAAGACCTGAGCTTTATAGGAAATCAATTTTTACTTTTACCCTCCCAAATAGTAATCCTTTTATCTAAGGTTAGCAATCTACACTAATAAAGGACAAACATGCAAATTGACCGTACCTTTGCTATGCCTTAAGCCACGCCCACCAGCCAATCAGAGCAACTATATGCAAATTAACCCAACCAAGATGGTGGCCGGCAGCCACGGAGCTGGAGCCAGCAAGAGGCTTGGTTGCCCCAATGATGGAGGAAGCCAAGCTTCCCGCCTACCGCAGAGGCTCTAAGCTCCACTCAAAGCAACAAAGTTTCAATTATAGAAGATAAATAAACCCCAGATACCTGCTTTCAGCCGGCTGTGGCCACGGAGCTGGAGCGAGCAGGAGGCTTTCCTCCCGCCCGCCCTGGCCAGCTCTGAGCTCCTCTCAAGGCTACAAAGTTTCAATTATAGAAGGTAAATAAATCCCAGAATAAAAAAGAAAAAAAGGAGAGGCTGGGAACTTCCGTCATCGGGGGGCTTGGCCAGCCTGAAAAGGGCCCTCAGCTCCTCACTCAGACTGGCCAGGCACCCCAGTGGACCTCCAACCCTAAAGGGGGTGTGGCCAGTCTGAAAACAGCCGTCAGCCCCTCATCCAGGCTGGCCAAACCTCCATGGGGTGAGGGTCCCCACTGGGGGGGGGGGGGACTTGACCAGCCTGCAAACAGCAATCAGCCCCTCACCCAGGCTGGCCAGGCACCCCAGTGGGGAACCCCACCCTGAAGGGGGTGTGACCAGCTGCATACAGCCATCAGCCCCTCACCCAGGCTGGCCAGGCACCCCAGAGGGACCCCCACCCTGATCTGGGACACCCTTCACGGTAAACCAGCTGGCCCCCACCCATGCACCAGGCCTCTATCCTATATAGTAAAAGGGTAATATGCAAACTGACCCTAACAGCAGAAAGACTGGGAGTGACTGGTCACTATGACACACACTGACCACCAGGGGGCAGACGCTCAATGCAGGAGCTGCCCTCTGGTGGTCAGTGAGTTCCCATAGAGGGAGCTCTGCTCAACCACAAGCCAGGCTGATGGCTGCCAGCACAGCGGTGGTGGTGGTGGGAGCCTCTCCCGCCTCCTCAGCAACGCTAAGGATGTCCGACTGCAGCTTAGGCCTGCTCCCCACTGGCAAGTGGACATCCCCTGAGGGCTGCCAGGCTGCCAGAGGGATGTCTGACTGCCAGCTTGGGCCCGGTCCCCCAGGGAGCGGTCCTAATCCAGCAGGTGGACATCCTCCAAGGGGTCCCAGACTGCAAGTGGGCATAGGCCAGGCTGAGGGACCTCCCCGAGTGCACAAATTTTTGTGCACTGGGCCTCTAGTACATATATAAATATTAAGTAACCCACTCAGCATTACTGGTGAGTGGTAGTGTAGACAGAGATTTCATTCAGCTGGGAAGTAAAATGAATGAATGGTATCTATTTAACATCAAACAGGAACCCGGCACTCTATAAGCAGGTAATGAAAAGAGGTGTGATTTTCTACATATTTACAGAACCTGCAAGTACCCATATCTAACATTTCCAGATTTAACTATTTTCATAGTAATGCTATCTTTTTAGTCATTCAGACTGGAGAGTCAGTATTGGCATGTGCCTTAGCCTTCCTGTCCTCAGTATCCCTCCGCTAAATGATGTCATCTCACTTCCCAATTCTTGTATTGTAGGTTAGGCTCTCCATAATGCTTGCCTGGAGGTTATATCCTGGATTTCCTGCCTCTAGGCTTTCTGTACTCCAGTCTAACATGTAGGTCAGCAGTCTTGCATGAAGGCTATCACGTGGATTATATACCCAAATGCAGTTTCTAGACCACTTTTTACTTCACATAAGAAGGCATATCAGATTGTAAGCAAGAGTGATATGATAGAAATAGTATTGACACTACTATAATTTTTATAAGACATAAGCCTCAGTGCTTATATTTCTGTTTTATACACCATTCTTTGAACATAACCTATCCATTCCTGCTGTCTTTGTGCCCTTCTCTCAATTGTACCTTTTTTTTTTTTAAAGATACAAATCATATCATTTATTATCCACACCAGCAGGGATTTTGGTTGTTGCATAAAACACAGTTCAAGATATGTTCATTTTAAAAAACTTACCTCTTCTATATTTTATGTTTTTAAAGTCCTGTACATTTCTTAAGACCCAATTTAAAGGTTAGTGCTCACACGAAACAATTCCTACTACTATTGGCAAAGGATAATCTTTTCATCTTTAGAATTTGCTCTGCACCTAATTTTTATCCCATAACACTTATCTCTCCTACATAGTATTGTAGTCACCTGAATGGAATACAACTTGGTATCTCCTCAACACCCAGCAGTGTGTTATAAATTGCAGATGTGTTAGGTATATAGTGGAAGTTTCTTAAATAAATGAATGAATATTGCATTTTATGTTTTCTAGATTAATTATGGTCAGTAATAATAAATAGAGACTAGTTGGCAACAACAAAGTACTCCACTCTAAAAACTATTTTTTTAAAATAAATTTTATTGATCTCCTACAGAGAGGAAGGGAGAGGGATAGAGAGTTAGAAACATCGATGAGAAAGAAACATCAATCAACTGCCTCCTGCACACCTCCTACTGGGGATGTGCCCGCAATCAAGGTACATGCCCTTGACCGGAATCGAACCTGGGACCTTTCGGTCCGCAGGCTGACGCTCTATCCACTGAGCCAAACCAGTCAGGCACTCCACTCTAAAAACTATTGATAGTAAACTGTTTCTGACGCAGTAATACGAGGAAGTGTTCTGAACAATTATTTAGCATTTAGAAATATTTATTCATTTATGTTTACTATAAAATTTTTTAGAGAAGAATCCTTCAGGATAATGAAGATTATGTTGACTTTTATGAAAGTAATCAAATAGTTGTGCTAAGCACAGTGGATTGTACTTAAATAATATACCCCACCGCTTCTCGGCCTTTTGGCTAAGATCAAGTGTAGTATCTTCTTATCAGTTTAATAATATACCCAAATATAATGCCTTAGGGTCCTATAAACATTTAGCAATGTTTTTCCCTGGAGACATTTCTCAGTCTTTTCTTCTTTGTTCTGTTCTTGTGAACAGCTTATACAGTACATGGGAAGTCTTCAATAAATGTAAACTATTATTAATGCTGCCCGATTAAAAAATAAGCTGTAGAGTAGTAGGGATATTCTTTAACTCCTGGGGCTAGGCAGATATTTCTCCAAAAGGTTACACTGCCTGTCAATATCAGAATTTAAATTTTACCCTAATATGCAAATCAGATCATTGCTATGCCTTTTTAAATGTATAAATATCAAAATTACTTAACCAATTTTTATTACTAGGACTTAGAAAGGAAAAAACACATAATAGAAATCTTTAATGTAAAAAAAGACTCAATTAATAAATTGTGATCTAAAACATTTTACTGTGTAAAAAAAATCATGTAAGACTTTATTTTTTGTATTTAACTGTGTGTGTGTGTGTGTGTGTGTGTGTGTGTGTGTGTATTTTGGTACATATATGTGTGTGTGTGTAATATACTTTATTGTTGACAGTATTACAGATGTCCCCCATTTTCCCAACCTTTGCTCCCTCCTCCCAGCCCCTACCCTATGTCAGGCCTTCACCACACTATTGTATTTAATTTTGAATAATAACAGTTTTTTCCAGTATTAATTCTTCCACAATGTACTGTGTTGTTTCTGAACTTTCTTTTGCATAAAGGTACTGTCTATTCTAGTCTTAATTTTGTCTTTTAATTTATCTGTAATGCTTTTATGATAATCTATAATAATAAAAGCATAATATACTAATTAGACCAGACCTTCCGGATGAAGCTGGGTCTTCGAGGGAAACCCGGGTCCTGGGTGCCAGAGGGAAACTGGTACCGGCAGCCAGGGAAGGAAGGCCTACTCTTGCACCGATTTAGTGCATCGGGCCTCGAGTATTTCATTAAAAGCACAAAAGCATTCATCTTCATACAAATGATTTAAATATAGCTACAAATTTTTAAAGAATTACTTGTGTCTTTACCATTTATATCTAATAAATGATAAAAATGTGAAACATAGAAATATTATTTGATGACTTTGTTACCAAACCAATTTATTTTTGTATGCCATTATTAGTGATCACTAATAGAGTACTTTTTAAAATATAGCAACTCAGTGAGCTCAGTGATTCAGAGACAGTGTGTGGCAAATTGTCAAAACCTTTGCATCTGCTTTGATGTGACAATTCATCTTTGACATATGAATTTAAAATATAAATGTTAATCCAATAGTGAAAGAGTGACTTAAAACTGATTTTTTAACTTGCTGATCTGTGTCAGACTTGAATTTGAATAACTAATTAAAATACTGTTTTTTTCTTCTTTAGTGTTTTGGACAAACAATATAAAACAAATAATATACAATATACTAACATTATTGCTACATGTTCCTACAGATGAAAATGATAATATTGAGATAGATACTAACGAGGAGATTCCTGAAGGCTTTGTTGTAGGAGATGGAGATGAACTTACTAACTTAGAAAATGACCTTGATATTCCCGGTAATTTCAAATTATAAATATTTTGTGTCCTGCTGCATGGGAAACTTTATCATTATATTTTTATTATTATCTCATTAATTGTGATAATAAGTTTTTTTTGTAGTTTTATTACATCCTATGTCCTCACAAATCATTTCACTAAATCCACCTTCCATCAATTTTGTAATTATTTTGTTTTAGGTTTAGTTAAAATTAGCAATAAAATTGGAATAACAAATTGTAGCTTGTGTTCTCTTCTTACTAAGATTCACTTTCTTAAATTAAAAAAAAAAAAGATTTATTGAATAATTTGAGAGAAAGAGAGAGACAGAAGAGAGACAGAGAGAAACATCAATTTATTGTCCACCCATCCATGCATTCGTTGGTTGCTTCTTGTACATGCCCTGACCAGAGATTGAACCCACAACCTTGGCGTATTGGGATGATGCTGTAACCAACTGAGCTACCCAGCCAGGACTGAGATTCACTTTTATATTTTATGTTATATGATATAATTTGTAGGCATTCAATAATTGGTTCCCTTCTTAGCCTAAATATTTTGGTGTAATGTTGTAAGGTATAGATGTTGTACCTATGAAATACGTCAAATGTAAATCAGATTTTCTGACTTGGTTAGAATTGACTATCCTAATTATAATATTATATTGCAGATTTTGTGTTTTATTCTCTTTTTTAGTTTCTTTTTTATTTTAAATATTACTACTGATAAATTAATTTATGCATACTTTATTACAATAAGACACTTTATTTGAAAACTGCTTATATAAACTGCTATTGGATTAATCACATGTCTTATATCAATAAATATTATACCAATAATCACATTGGTAATTGACCTTTTAAGTTATTTTTTAAATATAAACATACTTATGGTTTAATAGATGAGTGGTTCATGTAAGTCAACAGCAGATAGCTATACAAAGTTTATATACCAGAGGGGTTCCATAAATGCTTATTGAATTGAATTCTTATAGCAATAAAAAGTCTTAGTTGTTTTCCAGATTTAAAGGTAAGGAATTGAAGTCCTTAATATTTATCTTTCCCTATAAAAAGCTAAAGGGACTGAGAGCAGGTCTCTTAGCACTGACATGCCTCTGAAATACTAACCTGCTTTGTTTTTTTCCTCTGTTTGAAATCATTCTGTTATTTCTCCAGAAACAATCAACCAAGGTCTTCTTATCTATACAGAGCACCTAATAAAAGTTACTACTCTTTTGTCAGTAACTCCTTCATGGTGTAGTATTGAATTATACTCTACCACAGTGATGTTGGACCTATGACACCTGTGTCACCTCTGACACGCGAACTCATTTTTTGGGTTGATTTTTCTTTGTTAAATGGCATTTAAATATATAAAATAAATATCAAAAATATAAATCTTTGTTTTACTATGGTTGCAAATATCAAAAAATTTCTATATGTGACACGGCACCAGAGTTAAGTTAGGGTTTTTCAAAATGCTGACACGCCGAGCTCAAAAGGTTCACCATCACTGCTCTACCAGGTAGAGGTTGTGTATAATTGTGGAAGTCCAGGAAAATGTTGATACTTTAGGAAAAATTTTAAATGTTTATTCCAAAATTAGGACTATCTTTCATTTCTTTCTATTTAAAATACTGTAGAACTTAGGCAAATTTGATTTTTCTTTATGAATAAGATTTTTGTTGCTGCTTACCCAGCCTCTCACCACAACCACCACCAGAAGCTTTATCAGAAATTAGCAATGACCCTTTCCTGCTGAGGATACCCATAAGTACAGAATTGAACCCTTTATATTAAGTTCTATATTGAAGTATAGAACCAATGACAATAAGGGATGCATATTTTCTCATTTTACAACAGAGTATGAAGACAGGAAAAATTAGCTATTGCTTAGGTAATGTGAAGGGAATTTTCTAGTTTAGTTATAACAACTTTGTGGGACACTTAAAGTTTGGCTAACATTAGGCCTAATAGGTTTGACTCTTGTCCTTTTTAAAAACTCTCTTCCTACTTTATGCCAAAAAAGAAAACCCATCTCAGCCTTCCTGTTTGTGAAGTTAGCTAATACATTGTTTACAACTCTCAAAAATGCCAAAAAGTGTTGGCATGTGCATAGGACAAACTTTCCAAATCAGGCTATGGTTTATTTCAAGGCAATAAGAAATAGGAATGCACACTGGAATCTGGAGGCATACATTATGATTTTTATCCTTGCTTTATTTTCCCCAAAATTCTTTTTTTAATAATGTTTTAATAATAAATTGTTTAATCTTTATCTTGATTTGACCATGGTTCATCAGATATTGTTTAAAAGAGAAGCCTGGTAATATAAACTAACCAATTTGCATGAGAGTAATGATAATAGCATTTATTAAGAGTCTTATAATTAGAAAATTTATTAATCTTTATGAAAAATATCTTTTACCAAATGGTTGACATATCTTTTCCAAGTATTTTATTAAATAGTTGCTTTGAGTGAATTTAAGTAGAATTATTTTATTCCATTTGTTTCTATCGTATTATTAAAAATTATTGTACTTCTAAAAATAATTTGAAATGGTTAATTTTAAAGTTATAGCCATATTTTTGTTTATTTTAAATTTCTATCCATATTTAATACGTTTTAAATTTTTATCATCTTTGTTGTATTTCTGCCCTCCCATTAGAAGGTATTTGTAAGCATATACCCTGTTTCAATGCTATATATATGCAGATAAACATTGGGTTCGAACAGTGTTCACATGACTGTCTGACATCATGTTAAGGACTTATTTTAATGTGGTAGCATATGTATAAATTTAATATACTAGAAGAATTTGAAACTCTAAAATGTAACTTAGAATCAAATGAATCACCTTTAAAAATCTATTTTAAAATGGCTTGTTTTATTATATCTAACCTACTCATATAAATATATACATCAAATATAGGCTTAGGTTTTCAGATAAGCATAGCTACTATTAACTATAGTATAACTGAATTATCTTTAGGTATATTGACTATGTTCTTTAAAGTGACTGATTTTGGGGGAAAATATATATGTTTATACATACACTAACAATATATGCTAAGAGACTAAATTTTAATTGTTCCTACCACAAAAAATAAATGATAATTATGTGATGTGATAATAGGTGTTAACTAATGCTGGGGTGGTAATCATATTATAATATATAAATTCATCAAGTCAACACATTGTACATCTTAAACTTACACAGTGTTATATGTCAATTATATGTCAATTAAAAATGATTATAGTCAACATACCTATTGACTACTCAATTATACTATAGTTATAGTATGTAGTTATACATATATATGATAAGAATTCTGTATATGTCTAGATTGATGTGTTATTACACAATCCTAATGTCCTTTTTTTAAATACAGTAATGTTTTTATGGTGTGCCCTAAATTGATAGCCTATACATCTAAATGCATCTTACTTAGTAATTCATAGTGTTTGCATATTTAACAGAACAAAAGACTAAGTTGGTGGACTTGAAGCTGAAGAAGCTCCTAGAAGTTCAGCCACAGGTGGCAAATTCACTCTCCAGTGCTTCTCAGAAAGTTATAACCGAGAACTCAGAGCAAGACATTAAGGTAAATCTTACTTAAAATATTTGATTAGGTATCTGTGTATTCTAGCATTTTATAATCCTAAAATCAATTTCTTACCAATTATTCACATTAAGATTAAGATACACAAATTTTTATTAAATAGCCATTAAATTAAATACCAATATGGTAATCAGTATTTACCTACTTTTTTCAGAGAAAACTACTCTTTGATGCTGGTAAAAGTAGAAACTATTCTTGACTTTTATATGTATTTCTATTTTTCCAAGAAGAATATTGCTAAGAGAATTCTAGCATATTTTTATATAATCCTCAGCCTTTGACTTGTTTAGATAAACTAAAACTCATGTCAGTTAATACCTGAATATGGTGTGTGATAGAATGTAAATTTTTATAAACTTGCATGTTTTGTATCCATATGAATTTTACCTTTTTTAGGATTTCAGCCAAAATGCCACATTATAATAATTATATTATTATTATTATTATTATTATTATTATTATTATTTCTATTACTCCATTCAAGCTCTCCCCCCCTTTTTGTACTGTATCATTAATATTTTTCTAGCTTTAGGGTACTTCTAGTCCTGTATAATTTTTCACCCACCTGCGGACTTTGGGGACTGCCCTGCTGACTGAAAGGATTTCCTTTCCCTGACACAGAGATGCTTTGAAGTCCCGAAACAATGACTTTCATTGCTTTTTCCTTATACTGTCGGTTTCTATAAATTGGTGATGAAAGTGTGTGGCAGCACCAGAGGACTTTTGGTCTCTATCTTTGAACAAAAGGAAGCCTGGATCAGGTCTGATTTTTTGCGTTCAATTTAGCTTTCTGCAGTGGACTTAATGCAGAATGAAGCTGGCCTAAGAATAATACAATGGATTGAAAAGGCTAACTGAATTAGTGGGTTTAGAGGAATACATTTGTAAAGTGGCAGAAGTTCCCAGTCATAAAAAGGTTTCTTACGATGGGATTTGCTGGCTAATAGCACTGATATTTTAGCATGTTGCTATTAGCCATGTTTATTTATTTTGGTAAAGACTTGAGTTTTAGACTTCTGAGCAGTTATTATAATAACAATTGAATACATACTTGTTTTTCCTTTTTATTACATTTATTGGGGTGACAGTGGTTAACAAAATTATACAGGTTGCAGGTGCATAATTCCACCACATATCATCTGTACAGTGTATTGTGTATTCACTACCCTAAGTCAAGTTTCCTTCCATCACCATTTATCTCCCCTATAAGCTCTTCTCCCTCCCCACTCACCCTCTCCCCGGCAATCACCACACCGTTTTCCGTGTCCATGAGTTTTTCTTTCTTTATTTTTTCTTTTTTTTCATTCCCTCCACACTGCTCTAAACAAACAAACCTAGCTAGCATTATATTAATAAATATGACTTTTAAAAATAGAAGTATTTTTATTATTAAGTCTTAATTATTTAAATAGATTAAATTGATTTTGCTTTCCAATAAACTCTTGTATAGTAGTCTTTAAAGTTATTCCAATAAAAGGTGTGCTTTAAACAGCTTGTCTTTGTATGGATCTTTTTAGTTAAGATTTTTTTTAAATGGTGCATATAAAGAACATATACAGTCCATCTGTTCTCTCAAAGCTTTCAGCATTGATTTGGGGTTTTATTTTTTTTAATAAAATGCAGTTTACACGTTTATAAATGAGGCATTCTGTGTTTGTGGAAAAGGATAAACTGTTACCTTCCCTTGAGGATTCTGTATCCCAGGCCTCCTTGAGGCTAGAGAATAGGCCATTGGAGGACTCCCTCATTACCGATTGTCTCAATGCAGAGGAAGGGCAAAGTCTTGGTAGCTTTTGATAACCAGTTTCAGCATTCAGCAGGCTTAGCTATTAGTCATGCATCTTAGCCTTTCCCTATTTACTTTCAAAACACTTAATAAAAATAATAAAAGATTAGGTATAAAATGAAATATTTGTTTGGTACACAGCACCTCGATATCTGCAGCTTCCACACATTGCGGTGGTTCAGTCTTCTGGGATATTTCTTGTTGATAGAACCATTTGAATTTGTTGCCAGTATTAACATAGGAAGCTCTAGAAAAGATAATTGTAGTTTCCTTAGCTGCAAAGGGCTTACTTACAAATCTGGCTTTGGAAAGTTATAGCTGATTAATGCAGTTCAGTGAGGTAGAATTAAAATCCTACCTTTTAGCCTTCATCCAGCATTAATAGTTTATCTCAATGGGCATAAAATTAGAAACTAGCTCTTCTTGTCATACAAGTCTGTGGGGCTGTACAAACCAATGGGCCAGAATAGTGGGGGGAATAGACAGAGGCAACATGGCCTTTAAATGATACATATCATCTGGAGGAAACACAGGGGTTCACAGTGTCTGATGAATCAAATTAGCAAGAGTGAGTCTCTATTTAAACCAGGTCTCCTGTAAGCTTTTGGTTACAGGTAACAGAACTTGCAGTTGAGTTATTTAGAGCTCTTTAAAATACTTTTTCTTACAAAAAGTTTCTAAATTGGCATTATCTTAAATCAGTAAAAATTGTTTTACTGATAGGCAATTTCATGTTTATAATATCAGGACTCTTTTATTGTGTTTGTTTTACTTTTAGAATGGCACAGAAGATCTCCAGGCTGAACGATTACAAAAAGCGACAGAAAGATTTAGAAATCCTGTTGTGTTCAGCAAGGATTCTACAGTCAGAAAAACTCAACTTCAATCTTTCAGTCAATATGTTGAGAATAGACCAGGTAGGTACACTTTTTTTAATGTTTTCCCATCTTATGATTTAACATTATTTAGCTGTATATACATATATGTTAAAAAGCTGATACTGTAAATTCACATTTCAATACACAAATATCAAGCTTTATAATAATTTAACATGTCTTTACTTTTTTTTAAGATATAAAAAGACAGAGATCAATACAGGAAGATACAAAGAAAGGAAATGAGGAGAAGGCAGCGATAACTGAAACTCAGAGGAAGCCATCAGAAGATGAAGTGCTTAATGTATATTAATTTTTTGTGTGGTTTCATGATTGCTGATAATTCCAAACTGTATGTGGAAATAGTGCCTTTATTTGTTAAAATGAGATGTTAGGTTTTTTAAGATGTCAATCTCCAGTGCATTCAAAGCAGAGTGAGAGGGGTGCACTGTTGAATTAGTCTGCAGTGTGGTGATAATTGTCAGATAAAAAAAAATGAATTTTTCAGAGTTCCACAGCCCCAGCTTCCTTGAGACATTTCCATCAGGGCACTTCCCACAAAGAGATTCCAGTATTGATCTACCGGGAGGATTTTAATTATTACAATAGCAGATACCGCAGAGCTGCAGTTAGAGGGAAAAGTCACATGAGACCTGCTAGAATTTCTCAGCCAACCCATTTTGTTGGCTTGGGTTAATGGGTGTTCAACCTTTCCATTATCCAGATCAGCCGTGAATTACTAGCTGAATGATGTTTGCATTAATATAATATATATGGTAATTTCTTCACTTAATTAACAGGGAGGTTCAGCTCAGTAGGGGTATGGGCTGATCATGTGTAAAATTGATTTGTGAGGGAAATATTTGATAGACCGCAGGGAGAAAGCTGCTTTTGATGGACAGCTTTGGGACAGAAGCAGGAAGAACAAGTTTTAACTTGAATTTTTGTCTGGAAGCATAGCTCTCTTTAATGGTGCTACTTTTTTATGTGTAAATATTTTTATTGATTTTACTATTAAAATAGTCTTCGTTGGTTTTTAAAATACTTACAAGTGTACCCAGAATTACCAACTACATTTTAGGGCCCTAAAGAACTTCTTATATTTAATCTGTGGTACTAAGAACCTAATACATAGAACAGCTCACTGGAATATCCTGATGAAATATTCAGTATAATTTTTTAAGTTACAGAATATGTGAGGATACTGTATACTCAAAGTAAATAAATCTGATTATAAACTGTTTTTAACTGAATTAATCAGTAAAAGCAATGAAGTTTTATGTGTTGCTTATCACTTCTGCTTTCTTATATCTTTGCAAAGCACTATGTGTGTTTTGACCCTCTGGATGGAATGAGAAAGGTTGATTTTGAAAATGCTCTGCTGTCTGAAAGATAGGTACAAAAACCATTCACCAGATTATTCCAGATTTTGAAGTTACCGTTAGCATTTCTTCTGTTGTTATAATTTTTTCTGTTATATTTCATATTGAGAAAGAATGATATCTCTTTTGTGTGAATCTTTTTAAAAATACAGTGACTTATTTGATCACACTATCCAGAGAAATTGTTAGTTTTATAATTTCTTAAAATATTTCAACTTTGTCAACTACCATAATCAATTTAACAGTAAGGTGGTATAAATTGAGTTAACATGTGAGTACACATTATTTAGTACTTCTAAAGATATGTAAGTTATATGTATGGCTAGACATGTTTGTTGAACTTTAGAATTCTAAAATGTGCTCATAAATAACATTTCTTGATATTTTTTTCTTATTTAAGGAGTACCGAAGGATAATTCCTCATGGCTTCTTAGAGATTAATATGCTTCTAAGTAGGGAAGGGATTTGACAACAGAGGATTGTTCGCATTCATTTCTCTGAATAAATAATGTTGTAAGTGCTGGTGGTAGTAGTGATGGTGCTGAGAGTAATCACTTAAGCAGTTCTTCAGTATTTCTCAGCTACCCAGGAAACATAGCCCTAAAAATGCCCCAAGGTAAACAGGTATTCCACATCCAAAGGGAGCTATAATGAATCCATTTGTAACTTTCCTGTCCTTAATTATTTAAATTTACAATATGAAAATAAGAATATACTATACTGGTACTTTATAATAGAACTGCTACTTCAAATAAAACTTCTAAGGATAATATTTTTTAACATAATAGTTGTAAAAAGTAAAATTTCAAATTTAATCAAATGGAAAGTAAACTAAATCTGCATACTAGTTTCATTAGATCCTCTGTAGCAAGGTTTGAAACCACCTGTCACGTTAGAATTCACAGCTACAATAATTAGTAATACATCAACAGAATGACATGTTAAAGTACAGGAGCCAGCTGGAGGGAAGACTGGAGATATTAGAAACGAAACTTCTGTTTTTATCATTTTTAAGAGCATTTTAAATAGTATACCCATTATGAAAATAAGAAACCTCTCTTTAATTTTATATTTTTTGTAAGAACAAATCTGCCTGATTTTTTCAGGACAGATGCTTTAAGAAAATCCTTTAGTAAAACTCCAGTTTTGTATATTACAGTTTTGAATTAAAGGTGTCATTGGTGTTTGTTTTGGCACTCACCATGGGGAAAATTGTCTTCTGTCTTCATTCATGCTTAAATAACTGACTCAACTGTGAGGAGAATTTTTTCTAATTTAGTGTTAACTCTTTAAATCTGGCAAATCTGGGTATTAAATTATAAATATATTACTAAATGGTTGAGATTTTCTCTATTCACAAAAGTTTTCCTAAACATGAAAATTCTTTGAATCACAGGGAGTTGCTTTTTGGTACTAAGGGTGATAGTAAGGGTATTTGGTTCTCTAGGTAAGTGCTTTACTAAGTGTTTGTAGAAAGGAAAAATGCAACTTACAAGTGATTTTATTTTTCCTTCCTGTTTGTTCTCGTTAACAGAAAGGGTTCAAAGACACCAGTCAATATGTTGTAGGAGAATTGGCAGCACTAGAGAATGAGCAAAAGCAAATTGACACCCGTGCCGCGCTGGTGGAGAAGCGCCTCCGCTATCTCATGGACACAGGTACGGTGCCCAATTACACTGTAAACAGTTTTGGCAAATTGAGCGTTCACAAACTCTTATAGAGTTTTGGAAGTGTGAATCTTTGAAGCCTGAATGTTCAGCAGAACTGCCTTGAAAATAAAAAGGCTGCGATTTGCAGCCACCTCTCTGGGTCCTGGTGATAAGAGTGCCTTCATGGGAAGTGATAACTCGCCCTGATACCGTGTGAGCCAGCACTATTGAACAGTGTGCTCATCCATGCAGAGTTGGAATACACATCTGTGCCTCATTGATATGCCACTGCTTTAAAAAAAAAAAAAAAAAAAAAGTAAGATCTTCACTGTTCTACTGATTCATTGGGGGAAAAAAAGATTTGGGCAGCTAAAGCCATGTACTGCATGAAACAGAGCACTGTGCATAGGGGATGGCTCCATGGGCTAGATCACTGAAATTTGAGAATACTATCTGGTTACTGATGCCCCACAATATTTTTTTTTTCCAAGAGAACAGGTTTTTAAAAGTCTGTAATACTTTGTGTCACGGTTGCATTTGGAAGGATTAAGGTATATAGGAAGGTTTATACAAATGGTTTAGAGCAGCAAGTTAGCTCCTAACCAGAGGGTAGATCAGCACTTGGTGCTGATTGCCAGTAGTGATTGAATAGATCTAAGTGCACAATAAGCTACTGGGGGAAAAAACAGTATGTGTGTTTACATACACATATTTCTCTAAAATGCTGTTCCTACATAGGGGTAAAAATAAGAAATAAATTCAAATCATACCAATTAGAAAAAAATGTCAAAATATAAAAGTAGAAAATCTATTCCTTTAATCAAATTAATTGATTTAATGGCAGTGTTAAAATAGATTAATAAAGTAGTAAAGTAAATTAGTCAATTTGTAGTAATAGGATTGGAAAACTTTCCTGAAATTTTTCTTCTCTATTTGCAAAGAATATATTTACAATTAAAGAACTCCTCCAAAAAAGTTAGATGGGACCTTTGAAAATGTCTACACTCGTGAAATCAGCACATACTAGAACAGAAAGAGACCTTTGGCTTTATCCGGCCCATTGGGTTTCACGTGTGTTCGGTGGAGCCCTAAAGCTTCTTCAGAGGCACCTGGGGGCTGCCAAGACAATAAGGCAGCAGAAAGCAGACAGGCTTCTGGGTTTCTTACCTTACTCAAACAGAATAGCTCTGACTTTATTTATTTGAAATAGCAGTCTTCTTGGAAGAGTTCATTTAAAGAAAAAGCTCTGTCTGGCTGGCATGGCTCAGTGGTTGAGCGTCGACCTATGGTTTGATTGGGCACATGTCTGGGTTGTGCACATGATTCCCAATGGGGAGCATGCAGGAGACAGCCAGTCAGTGATTCTCTCTCATCATTGATGTTTCTATCTCTCCCTCTCCCTACCTCTCTGAAATCAATAAAAATATTTTTTAAAAACATAATAAAAGGTTCTACTGCTTAAAGTTTAAAACAAAACAAAAAACTTAAAAAAATTTTTTGGAAACTACTGCTAATCCTCTCATTGTACAGAGGAGACAGAGGCACAGGGAAAGCTCTACATCATATAGATGAGTAAGTGGCCAATCTTGGACTAGAATTCAATTCATGAAGGATCCTATCATGCAGGATCCTTCCTTCTACACCAAATTACCCAGAACACATTTACCATTGACCTAACAAATTACCTGTATGCTTGGTCTTATAAATACACATTTGTTTGGATTCAAAGATATCCCATAAACCAATGTATTATTTCACATTTGCATTTTTCCTTTAATTCTTAAGGGATGTTGAAAATATTAGTTGTGTTAACTATATAAAAATGTAAATTAGGTAGTATAATTTCTGTAATATATTTTAAAATTATTGTCATTAAATATTTTAAGGAGACTAATTTTTTTAAGTAAATTCTTTCAAGTGAACCATCTTTCCTTTTTATAGTGGGTAAAATAGATGACACTATACAGGAAGCCTTGTGCAGCTAGAAAATGTAAGTTCTCCTTCCCATTCCGCATATTACTAGTGAAGCTTCGAAGTGGTTCTATTCTAACTCCAGATCATTTATAATCTAAGAGTTATGGAGTACAGATTGATTCTAGAACCCTTGCAGGGCTTTATATTTCTTACTTTGCAGAACAGAATCTGATCTAGCCTGGGTTCACTACTATAGATTCAGACTAAAATTGACCTGGTTCCCCAACCTGATGTGCTCTAAGAATCACCTGGACTGCCTTGATCCTCCTCCAACCCTCAGAATGGTTTCCTAATATGTGCCTAAATCCTACCTAGTATCTAAAGTAAGAAATAAGACATTAGAAAGAGAAAGCATATATTCATCCTTTTCTTTGGGGGGAGGGGTTTAATAGTGCCAACTTTTCATTTATTATAGTAGTTAATACCTTTTCTCTGGTATGTTACAGTTGTCTATGTACTTTCTGAATCTCAGTCTTATAATTAAGTAGAGCAGATAGCATCCGTATTATTTTCATAAGGAAACTGAAGCTCAGATGGGGGAAATGACTCATTTAAGATGGACTAATTAGTAATGTTTGAATTAGGGCTTGAGCCCAGGTTTTTAGGTTTTCTAGCTCCTAATCAATCTTCTTTCCTTCCATATCTTCTTTACAGAACAAATGTACTTTATCTACTATTTCACTTTTTATATACCTGTAGATGCTAATTACATACAATTTTTTTATTGATTTGAAATTCACATATCATAAATTTTACATTTTAAAGTATACAGTTAGTAGCACTTAGTACATGCATAATGTTACACAATCACCACCACTGTTTCCAGAGCTTTTCCTCACCCTAAGCAGAAATTCGTAAGTGGAATCTAACAGTAGTAGTCCTTATGTGTCTGGCTTCTTTCACTTAATATGATTTCAAGGTTCATCAATGTTGTAGCATGTACCACCACTTTATTCCTTTTAATGGTTAAATAATATATCACATTTTATGTATTTATTCATCCATTGAGAGACACTTGGATTTTCACTTCCTGGCTACCTATCAACATTTGTGTACAAGCATCTCTTTGAATCTCTGTTTTCACTTCTTTGGGTTATATACCTAGAGTTGGAATCAATAAATCATGGTAATTCTCTATCTAACTTTTTGAGGACTATATTCAATTTTAAATGAACTGTGAAGTACATTTAGAAGGTGACTTTGTGGAATTGAGAATACATTTTCCAAAAGAAGCACTGTTAAAACCATCCACAGCCCCAACAAACCCACAAAAACTTATTTATTTAAATTATAACTAAAATAACACAAACAGTTGTCCTACATTTGAGTCCTTGGTTTTCAGAGCTTGAGCACCTATGGGTTTTTAGCACCAGACCCTGTGACATTGAAGCTCTAGCATCCTGACAGGGGTTAGGTGAAGCTTGATGGTGGCCCGGACTGCTGTGCATTTCTTCTGGTATGTGGGAAAAGGCTCTAGCAAGAAAGGAGCAAAGAAATGTAAGATAGGGATTCAGACTAAAGATCCAGCCATAAGATAGGGATGTGCAAGAGATGAAATGGCAATGGAGGAGGAAGGGCTCAAGGGATCCCAACATTCATTTGGCGTAATAGCATCAGTGGCAGAGACAGAGCAGCTGTGGGGATTTATATTTCTGAACTTGAGTAACCTTAAATTAGCGATCCTCCGCGTATTAAATAACAATACTGTATAAGTGAGTGAGTGAGAGAGAGAGAGTGTGTGTGTGTGTGTGTGTGTGTGTGTGTGTGTGTGTGTGTGTATTTCTGCCATTCCACCTTGGGATCTGTAAAATCCCTATGCAAGCACTAGAGAAATTTTTTTCCATCAGCTTTTAATGGTCTTTTGTTATTGGTTTGGGGCTTTTTTTGTTTTTGTTGGTTTGATAATTGTTGCAGGGGATGAATCTTTACATTTCCTACACCTAAAGTTTGTAATGGTTACTTCTTTGGCAATAGTAAAACTTATTATATAGGAACATATATGTGTTCTAAGCTGACATTTTCTATTAAGTATGACGCTAATGAATTCTTACCTTGAAAAAATGGAGTTTAGAACAAAAATGTTGATGGGCCCTTTTACTAAAGTGCTGCAGATAATGTTACTATTATGGATGGTGTTTATTTTCCATTCCCTATCTGTTTTCATTTGATGGTTATCAAACTTTCTTAATGTAGAACTGTAGTGTTTTAAACTAATGGTTCGTTTTTTTTAAATGACAATATTTACATTTTGAATGCATAATTAAACATGGGGGATTACAATAAAAGTGTATCTTACAACTTCAGAATCTTCAAGCACTGATAAAAATGATCATGATAACTTCATAAGTCCCTGGGCCAAAAATACTAATTCTGTAGCTTTTTGTAGACTATCCACTACAAAAACCTAACTAACCATTTAAAAATATTAAATATACCTTGAGAAAATAAGAATTAATAAAAAGAAATAACTTTTCTACACATTCCTCAGAATGTTTCTTTACCTCATCATTTGAGGAACACAGCATAGTTTTAAAGCAGAGAACTAGGTCCACAAAATTTTTGAGTTGTAAAAATAACAATAACAGTCCATATTTATTGTGTATATGTCTGGCTCTATGGAAACTGTTTTAAATGCATCATTTCCTTCTCACAATGGCCCTATGAGATAGATTCCATTACTAATTGGGACTATTAATAATCACATTTTTCAGTGAGGAAACTGAGGCTCAGAGAAGGAAGTAACTTGCCCAATTCATACAGTTCTGAAGTAGTGGAGCCAAGAGTCAAACCCAGTCTGATGGCTCTGGCACCCAACTTCCAGCTACCACATGACATGATCTCTGCTTCATCTCTCAATGTTCTTAGAGGTGAACTTCTCCTTTTCCTAGAGGCTCATTACTAACTAGAGGCCCGGTGCATGAATTCGCATGGGTGGGGTCCCTCGGGGTGGCCTGCAGGGATTGGGCCCCAGCTCACGCCCCGCAGCCCCAACTGGAACCCCTTCTTCCCTCCCACCCCTCCACCCCTGCCTTGGC